AATTCTTGGAAACATTCCACTAATGATTGTGTGATTTTTCGGAATGTTTTACAGGAGAAAATCGACAAGGGAATTCTGCGTTTTCCAGATAAGGCCAAAGAAACTATGGGAGTTGATGCAGATCCATTCCCTACCATGTCTGTTGGGGTGAACGCGGCAGATCTCAGGAGCATTGCCAGAGACAGAACTCAGACATATTATAGGCGCAGACTTGCAGCTGATGATCTGAGGTGGGTCATTGAGGAGGCCAGGACCCGCAGAAATTAGGTCAGATCCGGTTCATACCGAAGGAGACAGCCCGGGGGGCACAACTCAACTCAACAGAAAAATAATGCAAATCTGGCAGAAAAGCCCAGAATGGTGAAACCACCACCCAGATCTCCAACCAAACGGTGGGAACATGTGGTGCATCCAAAATTTCCTAAAGGTTAGAATCCAAGGACCTTGAGGAGACGTTTACAACGCAAAAGGGCTGCAGAAAGACACCAACAGCAGATTACAGACTCGGGGGGCATGGCAGATCAGGCACCGCCGCTCCCAGCAAGAAGAAAATCAGTGTGGGTCCGTAAGGAAAAAGGGAGCTCATCTGGTCAGAATGCTCCAAAAAAGGAAGAACCACCCAGAATTCCAACATCACCTCGAGTTCTGGCTGTGGAATCCAATGAAGAAACTGGTTTGAAGGCGAAGTTTGATGTGCCGGATAAAGCGAAAAATTCATCAAATGTAATCTGTTTTGGTGAGTTTTCCGTGAATCTATCTTGTTTGGTGATCACCCTTCCTTTGGTCTTTCAAGTAAGAGACCAGTTAGAATCTACAGTCTGTCACCAGACAGATTTGACTGAGGAAGAAGAAGTCATTGAGATCCCAGCTAAGGAAGAGAGAGGCATGGATTCAGCAGATAAAATCATTTTCGAAAAACCAGAAGAGAGGATGGCCAAGCACATTAGGCCATTATACATTCAGGCACATCTGGATGGTATGCCAATAAATCGAGTTCTGGTGGATAATGGAGCAGCTGTCAATGTTTTGCCAACTTGTCTTCTGCACAAGATTGGCAAAACTTTGAGTGATTTAATGGAGACAGAAGTGACAATCAGTGACTTTACTGGTGGAGTAAACCGCTCAAGGGGAATTCTGCC